TTCGGATTTTAAATAATTACGAAGCCCAATAAAAAGGAAAGCCAAACGAGTTCTCATAAACAGCAACAAAGTTATGCCTCAGAAAATATGTTTGTTATGAAAAACAATGCTTTTAAAAAAAAATAATTAAAGACGTTATAGATGCAATCATAAGGAGTGAGTGGCATGACATAATCTGGTATTACATTTGTAAATGTTACAAGATTTAAATAGGACTACTAATCGGCTTGCAATATTAAAAACAAGTTAAAGGGAATCAAATAAATAAAATACTATTGGTCTCGTTGTGAAAGTATTTCAGTTATTTATTAATCTATTAAACTCAGATATGGTATTCAAACTGTAAACTATCCTATCATTTTATATTACCTTTTTATATTTTGGGCACATCTATAAAACTTATCAAACAATGAACTGTGGGAAGTTAAGCTACATTGAAGTTAATACAGGGAATTTCCCCAGGCTAACAACGGGATTGTGATAACACGTCTTCGAAAATTATTAATGATGATGGAAATTCTTTCCTCAGAAGTTCGGTTGCAATGATTGCAGATATCTAAATATTGTTTCAATGGAATAATTTCATGATAAAAATATCACAGATGTATTCTTCAATATAACAGGTTTGATTTTATTTTGGGTGTTTTATCCTATGATTTTTGAAGTCATCTTGTTTGTTAGGGTTCGACAAGTACCCCCTCTTAAAATGTGCTCTCATTTTATCTCCCTTTAAGTGGTTCAATTTGTATAAAGCCTGGTCACCTAATATTTCTTCCTGAGAAGTTTCTCTTAAAAATTTGCCAGATACGCTTTTGCAAAATAGATTAATATATTGAAATCTTAGCAGTCTTATCCATGTTACATTTAGCTTATTCCAGAGGAATAAGTTGTCAAATAACCAGACAGGCTGATGCATACTTTTTACCTGCTGCTTTGATATTTTGAGTGATATTTATTGAACTATGATAGCTGTTTTTCTACCATTAGATCAGCTTCAATTATATCTATTGATCTATGATAGATATTAGTATATCCTTAGATCAGGTTCTAAAATATTAATTAATGAAAAGCGTCGAAGAAGTTCAACGTTAGGTAAAGCAAAATTCAGTATATACACATAATGTTTGATTGGAATTAAGGTTATAACAAGACGAAGTTAGCAAATAAATATAAACGTTCTAATTTTTGAAAGTTTATCCTACTGGCAAGTAGTTATCAAAAATAAAATATTCAGTTCGCGTATTTATTCCGTTTGATTTAATCTTATTTTTAGACCTATTGTTTTTTAAAAAAAAAAATAAATATCATCCTTTTTAAACCTATGACATTTAACAATGACATTTCAATATTATTGTTTAATTCGTAATATTGCGTAATTCTATCTTTTATTGAACACATATATGTGCCAAAGTAATAAATTGAATTAGTGGAAACCACACTCTTAAATGAGATCGGTAGTCAAAACGTTTTACCAATCTGCCAAAGAAACCGTTATATGTCTCTCAAACAAATATGTTATGATCATTCCACTTTAAACTTGCTAAATGAGATGTTGAGGTACATATTTATGTCACAAAATTAATATGTCAGTTTATTTATGTGTAAACGTTAAGTATCTCTCAACAAAACGTAACATGTAACTCGATACTGATTTGTCGATTTAGTCATTCATATGTCAAACGTACAATGCTTAAAAAGCCACCGAATATGTAACTGATTTAAAACTATCCAGCTGTAGAGTAATGACCATTTATTACATGATTAGAATATACTTAGTTCTGTAAAAAAAATCTTTGTTTGCAGTATTGACGATATGTTCCTGGAACTGACATTTTCTTAGGCTCTTATAACATAACCAATTCTCCGAAGCTAACGGAAGAAACAAAAAGGCATATATTGACAGAAAATAAAAATAACACAAGAAAGTGCCGTTCTATGAAATTAGTCTCTATCTTTCAGAAACTGAAAGAGGAATTATATTATCTCCGTTTGCCTAATAGCAGCTATTCGGTTAAACGCTGCATTATCGGAATTAAGTGCGTAACGAATTTATACCGATTGTATATAAAGGTGTCCTATTACCGCGTCATTTGCTGTTAGATTTTAGCATTTCCAAGAACCGCTGCCATTATGCGTCACCTCTGAATAAACCGTATGCAAACGTATATTCAATAATTTCACAGTTGGAAGATGTGCTTGCTCATAGCAATTAAAAATAATTTAAAAATTCGTTTGTTTTCCTTATATGTAAACATAGAAAGTGATCAAACTCATTGCACACGACATGTTGATCTAGTCCCTTTTTGTATTTTTCGTTCACAAAATTGTGCCGAACACAATGTCAACAAATCGTGTTTCACATTTAAACAATACAAGAACATCTGTATGAAGGGTAGGGCGAATAGGTTTAACAGAATATGTGGATGTTGAATAGACAAATATCATGTATAGTACGCCATGAGTTAAACATAAATTATTAATTCAAAAAAATTAGGTTTTATCCTTGTACAGTGTAGTCATTCTCCAAGACACGGGTTCTTTTGAAAGCAGGATACGAAGAGACAGCTAAATGTGCCTTGTGGTCTCCATAAAGTGGAAATATTAGACCAGTCTTCCATTTTGTACTTTTTGCTTTCAACCCATTAATGGCATACCAATAAAATGGTTACAGATTTAAATTCAAGATTCATTAATTAAAATAAAATGTAGAAAAATTAATAACCAATTACAGTAGAATTGATAGATAAATATGCATCCGGTATGTACAAAAAGACATGTGATCAGAATATATGAAAATAATCCAGACTGTTCAACATGGGGATTATTATAATGCCATTATTATTATTATTATTATTATTATTATTATTATTATTATTATTATTATTATTATTATTATTATTATTATTATTATTATTATTATTAAATGGATAATTGTGTTATTGTTTTCATCATAAAATGCTGCTTATGGACAATGCAGGCCGTCTTACTTCTTTTAGGAACTATTATCAAGGTTGTTCAAATCTGACTAGAAGCCAATTTTACAAGCATCATGTGCAGAAAAACAGCACATGCTCAGTGTTCCAAACTTTTACACCAACTCCATTTCTTCTTGCCAATAAATGGATGATTCATAAGTGTCAGTTGCACTTTATTCTCGCTACATATTGACTCCAAAGTCTGTGGTCAAAAAGGTAACGAGTTTCTTCAAAGAAATATAAGCTATTCTTTGGCTCACTCGCTTCGCTGCAAGATTTTCCAAATGAGGGAAATTGGGCATCGCACTTACCGTAAGTTGTTGGCATTTCTTCACAATAAGAATACCATCCGCCACTCACCTGTATTGAATTGTGCATTGCCAATCGCTCTTACATTCCTCGATAAAAACCATTGGTACCTAACGGGGAGGGGCATATTAATGGTGTTTTGTGAAACTCATTGTGCGCGCTTAAAGCAGTGATATAAAGGAAAGTTAAAGCACCTTGTCATCAGTTAAAATTCATAATGTTGTTTTCTAAATGGGGTATGTAATTAAAATTTACATGCAATAAAGAATATCATACATCATACTAGTTTAATGGATCTCCTGCAAGTCTGGCATACTTAACTAAGTATGAATTTACCTTTGAAAAGACTTTGCTGTTACCAAACATTTTGCAATGTTTCTTTACTGTGATATGATGCTATGTCTCAACTGCCATAGTAACACTACTCTTTCTTTGCCTCACGCGTCAGAGGTCGCATCGAAATACTTAAGCAGACACGTTGATTGGAAATAAAAATCCTTCACTGTTTCCAGTCTGTTTTCTAAGTATGACGCATAGGTTTTTAGCATATTTAATTTTCGAATTTCTTTTATATTTGTGAGATTGTTTAGTTTTCATCTATTTGTTCGACTAAATTTTACAATAAAACTGGAGTAGTTTTTGTGGTTGATGATTATTAGTCACTTTCTTTCTATATACTTCGTGTTTTTGAGGATGTAGTCCTAATTATAAAATGGCCCCCAAATCAGCATCCATATTATTATTGACCCTCATTCTGAGCTGAAATGGTACGTTTGAATTAAGTTTGTACAAAATCAAAATGTATCAAACCTGTATAGTTCCCATTTAAATGTACCTATCCAGACGATTGCTTAGACGTTCTTTGACCAAGGTCACAAATATCTTCTATTTCCCAAATGATTGAACGTTTGTCGTCGCATAATTAAAATGAGAGCATCATGTAGTGTGTTAAGAATTTGTCTGTTTTAACTTAAACAAAACTACTAAACCCCCATGCTGAAAAAATTATATGTGATAGTAACTTCAAAGCGGTTTAGCATTTTCACGTATTTTAGTTATATGACTACAATATTTCTAAACTTTTATTTTCATCTTGTATTTTATCATTTACTTTACGTTATGTGTGCTACCCGATATATAGGTATATGTTCGATGCATGCGTATACAGTTACATTGACAGAGTTCATTTTTATTTCACTACATCATTGACCCGGAAACAATCAGGATAATTTTACATTTTGCCACATTAAACTGACTGGCTTACTGTTATTTATATTTATATATGTTTTGTGTAACTATAGACTGTATCTATAATGTGTGTAAGTTTTGTTCATGACTATACAATGTTGTGGTCGCCTAAAAAAAGATATTAGTTAACTTTTATAAACAGTTATGGGTTTTTAATCACATTTATAGTACCTATAGATTGCATAGCCTCTATAAATAGATGTTTACCATCATTAATAACAATATTGATAATAATCATGTTTACTAGTTTGGTGGTGGGTTCTCAGAAGAATTAAGTTAATTTCCCTTTGGAATGGTCAGTCAAGAGGGATATTTTACGCTGTGGAGTATTGCAAAAATAAAACGTAGTGAGTAGGAAAAAACCGCGTTTTCAGCCCGCATATTTGTGCATAAGGAGAGAAATGAACTAATAATTCATTCCTTTTTCTGATTCTTATTGCATAGTTATATATATATATATATAGAACCGTTCCGGTGGCTTAGTGGTTAAGACGTCCGCCTCGGATACAGGAGGCCATGGGTTCTATTCCCGGTCGAGTCATACCAAAGACTTACAAAAATGATACTAACAGCTGCCTGTCTTGCCTCTCACCATTTAGAGGTTAGTGTTAGGACTGGTGTCAGGATAATGTGACTGGGTGGGACATCATGCTACATATCTGCGACATGATGCGTCAGTGGTAGACATCAATATAAACTGCCAGACTGCAGATATGGTAGCAATATGCCTGAAAAAAATTTAAGCTACGTTATATATATATATATATATATATATATATATATATATATATATATATATATATATATAATGTTTGAAATAAACTGGGACTATACTTCGTTACTTTTTATTTCAATACGTCTTACTTTCTGCAATTTTTAACAAGAATTAATGCCGAAATATGAGAAGGAGGCTGTCTGGTGAGCATAATTAAACCTAGCTGTAGTTAGAGTATCATTCCTTAGAGTAGATATGCATAGCCTAAATTGTTGTGCTTTGTGATGTCGACATCCTAAACTGATTTGACGTGTTTCTGCTTAAAAGTTTTAAAAAATACAAGGCTCCTGTATGTTACTTAACAGCTACTTCTGTTGAGGAAATAGTTTCGTATCATGCTTGAGAAGACAGATTACGATCAAACGACCCCAGCCAACGCTCAAAGATAATGTTATCTAACACCTGGGCATTACTTGGTTTCTAAAAATGCTAAAGTGAGCATGTTCAAGGCGTTCACCTCTTCCGTTCCCTTTAGAAAAGCCTTCCGTAGCTAACCTAAAAGCAAAACCTTAAACTGTATTTGCTATCCCCCACCAAGAAATTGGCAAAATTGTAGAAAAGCAATCCTTATTCCTTCAACCTTTAACACGCCTATTTTCAAGTTCCAAATAAAGTTAATAAACTTGAGAATCGTATGTTTCTCAGTCATACATTTTTATTGTTTCAATGGAACTGAAAGGATATTGAAAGCCAACCTACTCCAGAAGATATCTGTTCTGATACTAAGACGCACGTATCAGAAGGGTTGACCCAATTTCAAGGTCTGTTGACGAATCTTGACCTTTCTCTCTGATCCAGGGGTGAAGTGTCTGTGTTCTCACCTGGTCTGCATTTGTTTTAGTACCGACAAGGAAAAGAGAATTGGTAAACAGCTATTTAAGATACCAAATAGACGTTTTTTGAAAATCTTAAATGAGTTGGGATTGCTCACCAGAAACCGAGGTCCTTAATCATCAGTCATATAGAATAGAAGCTACCTTTGCACGAACTTCTAGAAATTGGCCTTTATTTTATCTGGCTTAAGTTCTTGAAAATAACGTAAATGTATCAAACGTTTAAATTACAATGGTACAACTACGACCAATAGGACACAGGTTCTTATTGATGAAATCTTTAAACTATATATCAAAATATTTTTTAAGATGTGGACACAAGAAACGAATTAAAAAGTGTTTAAATGTCTCCTGTAAATAAGTCAACCTTGCTATTTTTATTGTTCAAGAATTTACACACACACACACACACACACAGGTGAAATGATTTGTTGCTTTTATGTTTGCTCTCTGCGGAATGTTCCATTAATCTCCGCTGCAATTTACATTTCCCTCTTTGAAACTGTGCCAAAATTTCTTTTATAACATTTCTATGAACCCAACTATAGCATGTTTTCATGTATAGAGGCAGTTAAACGTTCTTTAATTCAAGTCTGCAGCTCAGTAAACATTAACCATTAACGGATCTTCTATCATTCAAGTCCTTATAAAAGTCTGTGGTAACCACCTTGATTTCGCGAATCAAGTTCATACGAAGGTCTAACAGACGTTCGGCAAGCTTTGAGCATGTACTGTTAACTGCATCACTATCAATCCTTAGAATCATGATGCATCGACTATATCGAGTAATGCAATTTCATGCAGTGATGTCGTTATTGATGATCAACGGTGGATTTTGTTATTATAACTTATTTATATTTACAATAAAAATATTTACCATATTTTTATAGTTAATGCAGTGTTCTCTAACGTTGTTCCAACACCTATCAAGGTATTTCTCTTTTCTGTCTGGGGATGAATTTTCATTTTTTTAAATTTAAATTTCCTAATTAATTTTAGATTTGTATTAAACTTATTTTGAGATTTTGATCTTTTATTGTTTGTAGTGTTACAAGTCTGTGCTCTTAAATAAGCAACAAAAAAAAACCAGTGAAGATAACAAGCTTCGTAAAATTTAGCAAATAATTCATTTCCCTATAATAGAAAGTGAAAAATGAGAAAAAGACACATGTCATAGTAAAAAAAATCTGATTAAAATTTATCTGAAGTCTCAAAGATATCAAAAACTGAAGGCTATGACGTGTGTGTTATAACCTACGAAGTTCTAATGTGTCAAAAGTCTCTTGTTGAATCACCGAAATATTATTCCAGGTTTGAATTCAGTAGAAATTCCAATGAATGTCTTTATTCAAAAATTTTGTCAGAGCCCTTTTGTATTTCCAGAGCAAATAATCCCTTGAATTCAATAATTTGAAGAAAATGAAATTCAGACCAAACTGGTTACACCATAATACAGCTCAAAGTGTTAAATGTAAAATCCTCAAAATCACATGATAATATAGTTACCTGTTTGACCTCAGGTCACAAATTAACATTTTCTATAAACAGCCATTACCTAATGTAAAATAACCTTCTAGAATTATCTAACGAGCCTTGTTTATTTACAACACAATAGCCTATAAAACTCACATGAGGATTTCCAAAACACATACCCTGATCAACATATTTACTCCTTCTTGTTTACCTAAATAATAATCCGGATAATAAGCTCATACCCATAGAGAAAAAGGAAGCCATTGTTAGTTTTGTTTTACATAAATGACATAAAAAAAGTCAATCATATCAAGCAGAAACTAACTGTTTTGAACAAGGTCAAGTCCAGCAAATAATGTTACATTACAGTAACATATAATGAAATAAAACATTAAAAACTAGCAGATAAACAATTAAATTTAATATACATATCATTAGATAGTGAAAAAGGTGATACAAAATTTGAAAAATAAATATTTCTCATGAAGTTCATGATTTCTGTTTCTCCTGATATTTCCAGGTAGAGTAAAATGAATTAACATGAAAGATAGTTACTTCCGGAGTTCAAATAAGTACCTTCAATAGATCGATTTTATTCAGCCTCAATTTGTCAAAAAAAAATTGTAAATACTTTTCGACCTAAAACTAATAATATTTGCTTTCAAGTATAAACAAAGACATTTTAATACTATTATGATTTTTTTCAATTTTGGTTATGTTAGACTCTGAGAAGAAAACACGTCACAAAACAAACTTATTATAAAAAAAAACAAGGACAGTGTTATAAGTGCTATATTAAGATTCTTTTAGTAGTTTCCACTAAGTAATTTGAGTTTTCTCTACATGAATAGCTCTATATTTGTCAGAGGGTCTGCAACAATGACGTAGCACCCAGACTTTGAGTACAATGATCTGTTTGGTTGTAATAAGGCCATGAAAAGTAGCAAAGAATCAATTTTGGACGTTTTATATGCATGCCATATCAAACTAATATAAGAACTTCAGTCTAAAATAAAATTTGGGATATCAGTCTGGATTTCTCAAAAAAGAACGAAGACGTAAGTGCTTGCATAAACTAAATCATGATACACAAGGCCATCACGTATAGAACTTGAACCTCTTCATTAGTTTTAAATTTGGACAAAGTTTCGTGTTCTCTTTTATTATTACAATTTAACTCTTTTAGAATGATATTTGAATTTGTCTGTAATCTCTAACAATTAAAGTTGTAAATGACGTAAAGATGTATTGTTCTTCCAATGCAAATTGCTTTCTTTCTTAAAAAAGGAAATGAATTTCTATCTATCGTTTTCTAAACACCACAAAATGCCATAAGATAGAAAACTCTCATATATATATATATATATATATATATATATATATATATATATATATATATATATGTGTGTGTGTGTGTATATGTATATATATATATATATATATATATATATATATATTTGTGTGTGTGTGTTTTTTTATATATATATATATATATATATATATATATATATATATATATATATATATATATATATAGTGTGTGTGTCTCTCTCTGTGTGTGTGCGTGTGTGTGTTCTATCTTATAGCATATTGAGGTGTCATATTGGTTTTTAATGTTGTTTCATAATAGCGGTCGTGACAAAAATAGTGTAGTAAGAAACCACATGACCAATCTCGCGAGACTTGAAATGAAGCCTGGGGTTTTAAATACGCATTCCATGTATTTTTTTTCAGAGAGAGAGTCATTCAACACCTCGAAGATACAAGGTGTATTATTTTTAATTTGCTGCTAAGAATGTTTGTGCTTCGTCTGATGTTTGGATTTAATAATTTATTCCACTGGAAACCCAACAAGTTGACTTTTCTATTTAAAAAAATCTGACAGATATTCATGGATGTCTATTTTGGAATTATTCATCAACAAAGACTGATTCAAGTAAGGAATTATTGTTATTCATACGTTGGACCACATCTGACGTCATCGCCATCCATATTTGTACGTTATCGGGACTCGAACCTGGATTCTTATATACTATTTAGTGATACGACTTGTGTTTTCATTTTTAGGATCACATTTTGGTACAAAGCTTTTTGGTTTTCTCTCTTCTTTGTTACTGAGTACGAGCCCTTGTCACGTAACTATATATATATATATATATATATATATATATATATATATATATATATATATATATATATATATATATATATATATATATATATATATATATATATATATATATATATATATATAAGGCTAAATGGCCGTTCTTAAGATATTTAACGTTTTGTGTCTTTACACGCATACGTAAACATATTTACACACAAAAACTAGTATCAATAATAATAATAATAATAATAATAATAATAATAATAATAATAATAATAATAACAACAATAATAATAACAATAATAATAACTGTTATCGCCTCAACAAATGCATGTTAACAAGAATTTAGT